CCCCAAAACCCCAAAACCCCAAAACCCCAAAATTTTTAGATCATTGAAATATCACTTCCTTGCAAAATGAAGCTTGTGGAATCTCCCTGTCAATGGTAGCTTATAAGCATACGAACCAAGATGGGGTGCTCCAAAAAGTGCATAACTTTAGACAGAGAATATACTCTCAAATACCTCAGGGAGTTCATGCCGATTACGTGTTTTCCTTGCACTATCATTCACCTTAATATGGCTATATATTCTGCTTCTCTTTAAGCTAAGATTCAGCTTCTTATGCCTTCTGGGCACTCGAGAGTTTCTCATATCTATCGTACTAATGGAAAGGCTTGGATGCTCTGAAGAAACCCGTCTGTGAGAAGCTAGAATGTCATTATCTCTATAAAGAATTATCTCTGAATTTCAGTAAGGGAATACCATTTCTGCTTAAATCGAGTGTTGTACCGTTTAAGGCTCTGATGAATCGTGTCTAGCTGGCATTTAAACTCTGATGCAAATTTAGACTGCTTCTGAGGCATTTCTATAAGAGTAGATAATCATACAAACCTTCAACTTGTTTCAAGTAATTTCAGAATACATAAATAACCTGATCAAGCTGACTTTTTAAATTCATTCAATAGTCCTTGAGCAAGAAGTGATCCTGGCTGTCAATTTTAAGGGTTGCTAGATGCTCAATATCTTGAAGACTAGCCTTGAGTTGTAATTTTGCTTCGAATTCCTTCTCATCAACAGGTCTGATACCATTTACCTCAAATAGCTCCCTCTTAATCTTAGTCTTGAGCTGGGAAACTATATCTTGAGTGTTCATGGAGACTTCCTCCTGAATATCAACCTGCTTGTCACTAAGTTGCTTTGCAATTTTTTGTAAATAACTAATTTTAGCCCAAATCTCATCTTTAGCTTCGTTAAAAGTGTCTAAATCTGCATATTCCTCAAACATTCTTCTAGTCTCCTCGATGGAGTGCTTGGAAGCTTTATCAAGAATCACATCGTCCATTCGGACTATGATCTTCTTGTTCGTTTCAACTTGACCAGTTAGTTTAATCAAGCAGTGGTCTGCCACGCTTATTGGAAGGCTTCTAACTCGTTTCGAATGGTATTCACCTCATTTTTGATAGCAAATCTAGAGATTATGCAAGGAATTACTGATCGAGGCGAGAATTTAGCCTGCCAAGCTCTAGATTTAGGTCTTTCATATCAATTTTCTCGTCCATAACCTGAATAATCGCTGGAAGTTTGATTGAATTGATGTCTAAATGCTAAAAAGACCATGCTTACCTATCAAAGCTTGTTCATTTCGAGTGATATCAACATTAATCTTCATAAATTTCTCCTGCAAGTACCTATCTTTCTGGGCGAAGTCCTCTTTGAAAGTATAAAAAGTAAGTTTGTTGGCTATTTCCTCTTGCAACTTATTTGATCTTATTATCAACTTGGCTGATGAGCTCATACTGGCCAAGCCCTTGCTTGACTCGTTCTACATCCTCTTGGAGCAACTTATGAGCTTCTATTCGTAGTTGAAAGGGTATTCACACGTTTCAAAAATACTTACCTGTAGAGCAGTAATTTCCAAGAGATTTGCCCATTGCATGAAACTCCAGATATGGAACGAATTCCAAAAACCGCTTGTTGATATTAGCAACGGAAGTCTTATCTGCCTTATCGACCAAGGTATTCCGAAGATGAGTCATCTCAAATCTAATGTTATTAAGCTCAGTCTCCTTAAATTCCATTTGAGTGTAGATATCCTTCTTCATGCTATCAATCTGATTCTTTACCTTTTCCAGATCAGCTATCTTAACTACATCAAAAGGGATTTCATGCAGATTTTTCGAGGTGATGGGATTACTCTTCTGAGTTACTTTAAAAGCTTTCTTCATAACTTAAATTTTATTATAAAATTTATCAAGATAAGGGGTTTTGGGGTTTTGGGGTTTTGGGG